AAAAACTCCATTTTCTCTTTACTGATGTGGAATGTAACCTACTCCTATTTCAGTCACCCATAGATGTGCATATTGATTCACAGGTTTATTTTTTTTTTTGTTCCTCTGAATGTATCTGTATCTCCCAATACTCACATCACATTGTCCTAATTATGAGCTCTTTATATTTATGATAGGTCAAGTTCACCCACTGCATCATTCTCGGGCAATACCTTGGTCATTCTTGGAACTTTCAAGAATGGTTTGAAAGTTAAGTGTAAGACTGTCACAGTTTTATGGATGACAAATGAAGACAGGAGACTTCTGAATTAGAGACAAAAACACAATTACTCATGGCACATTAAGCAGTATGGGCATGAGCAAGTTTGTTTCAGTGTCTTGTCTGCAAGTCTCACACCAGGGGTACTTGTGGACCCAGATCAATGCTTACACACAGAGTAGGTTGCATTATCAAAAAGAATTCTGACCTTAAGAAATTGGAATCTTTCATAATATACAGAATTACACACTATCTCCTAAACGGAAGCACTATTTCTATCTTCCAAAACTCTGCTATACAAAAACAGTTGAGAAAAGTAGGGAATTAAGTGCCTCTACTTCTAAGATATATATAGAAGCACTAAGGAGCTAGGAAGCCTTGTCTCTCAGCTGGCACCTTGATCTTCCACGCATGTTCTAGGTTTTGTCATACACTGTGCATGCGCGCACGCACACACACACGTGCGCACACACACACAATCTGTTGGGAACTTGTTTCACATTGCCTTGAAACTACAGACTGAGGGAGAACTAATATTCTAACAATATTGAATTTTCAAGTTCATGGCCATAGTACAAGGTACTTCAAAAAATTTGTGGAAATGGAATTAAAAGTTTATCTGATGCAAAAAAAATCCATGCATAGTTTTTTTTCATAATAAAACATTTTTTGAACTTTTTGAAAGCCCTTCTCTGTGTGTATTTCAAAATTTGTTTACCCCAAAACGAACTCATCTTTTTCATTTTCCTTGAATGTTTTTAATTACCCTTGTATTAACTCTGCATTTATTTAGTCTACCCTAATGTCTTTCAATAAAGTTTCCATAGAAGTCCAGCACATCTTCTGTTTACTACTTAGTAAGATCATATCTCTGCTCAAATCCCTTCAATGCCTTCCTATTTTACTCAGAATAGCACCCAACGTTCTAAAAATGGCCTGGTGGCTTCCTTGTGGTCTGGTGCCACACTGCTGCTTTGTTCATCTCTCCTGCTGCTCTCTGTTTTGTTCCTTCTGCTCAGGCACACAGAGCTCTTTGCTCTGCTTTGACATGCCCAGCACACTTTTGCCTTCGGTCTAGCACTGGTTATTTCCTCTGCCCCAGGTGCTTTCATCCCAGGAATACTGCGTGGCTGATTACCTCATCTCCTCAAGTCTTTGTCCAAATGTCACCCTCTTGGCGATGCCCATCCTGAACACTCCACTGGAAACTGAAAAATCTCTCTTCCCTCCTCGTCCTCCTGAGTCCCTTTAGCCTAGTCTATCCTCCCCCTTAGTACGTATTCCCTGCCAGCCTACTATAGGACAGTGTATAATACCACCCTATCGAAGAGCCTACCACTGATTATTAAGTATATTTAACATTTGTTTCTGTCCCCTCTAACTAAAATCTTAACAACATCAGTCAGAGATTTCAAGGGTGTAGAATAGTGTTATGTACACAGAGGGTGCTTAAAAATATTGTCAGATAAATATTTTCCCAGGCATGTCTCATATTTTAAAGCTGTAAATGCTATTTTCAAGAAAATTAAAATTTCTGTTTGCTGCTGATGTATAGAAATTAAGTTAGTATTTTATAATCGTTTTGATATTCAGGATCTGTCTGAGCCTTCTGACTCCCATAACTTAAATGTGTCAGGAAATCATGTCATATGAGAAGAAAACTTTTTTCTTTTGTGCCTTCTTCATTTCTTTATAATCCTTGATTTCATATTTCTCGCTTTACTATCTTGCCTGGCAGGCATCTTGTCTTGTTTCTTGTTTTAATTGGAACATCCTCAATATTTTATATGACACTTTTAGTAGATTTTTTGGTTAGTTCGAAGTTTCCTTTAATTCCTAATTTTCTAAGAATTACCTCTTCCTTATGAACAAATATTCAACTGTGTTAACTATTTTTGTTATTATTTAGATACATTATAAGATTGCTGTTGTTTAATCTTTTAATGCTGTAACTGATTAATTTTCCTACATTAAACCCATCTGCCTTGGTAGGAAAAATCCGACATGATCATGCTGTATCAGTCGTTGAATGCATTGCTTAATTGATTAAGAAATTCTGCATCTATGTTCATGACAGAGATTGCCCTTTGTATTTCCTTTTTCTGGTCAGGTTTTAGAATCAAAACCCATTATTAATTTTCCTCTGAAATGAAATGGAGAGCACTCTTTCTACCTTTCCCTGTACATTCGAAAGTTTACACAAATGAAAATTTAAAAAATTACTTATCTATTTATTTGCTTTTATTTACTTGAAAAGTGGGAGGGAGAGAGAAAGATATCTCCCATCTGCAGCTCATATCCCAAAATGCCTGCAACAGATGGGACTTGGCCAGGCCAAAGCAAGTAACTCAGTCTGGTTCTCCTACATGGGTGGCAGCGACCCAACTACTTGAGCCATCCAGATCAATGCTTATACACAGAGTAGGTTGCATTATCAAAAAGAATTCTGACCTTAAGAAATTGGAATCTTTCATAATATACAGAATTACACACTATCTCCTAAACGGAAGCACTGTGCAATAGCAGGAAGTCAGAATTGGGAGCAAACCCAGGACTTGAACCCAGACTCTCTGATGTGGGATGTGGGTGTCCCAAACAGTGCCTTAACAGCTGCAACAAATACTTCCCACCCCATCCCCGAATATTTAAGGTTATCTATTTTTACTACATATTGCTACAGCTACCAGTCACAGGGTGTATATGCTGTGCTTTCAGTTTGAACAGCTTGAAATGTGTTCCACTTTTCATTGTGAATTTTTCTTTGGTACCTATGTTGTTTTGAAGTATGATAGCTAACTTCAGAACAAACAGAGTTTGTTTGGAGGGGGAATATTTATTCTGTCTTAAATAAATTGAAGTCATAAAATGTGTCCTTTATGATGCTAATCACCTGAAATTTTTTGAGATTTGACTTATAAATATCCCTTGCATGCTTTAGAAGCAAATCTATCTGCAGTGTTCTAACAGATTCACTAAAGCAAGCTTGTAATTGTGTTTATAATTTTTATATCTTTAACTGCTTCATCTATAAGTTATTAAAATGTATGTGTTAAAATCTTCTACTAAGATACAAAATTGTTAAATTCTCCTTTCAATTCTTTTTTTTTTAAACAGGCAGAGTTAGACAGTGAGAGAGAGAGAGAGAGACAGAGAAAAAGGTCTTGCTTTTGCCGTTGGTTCACCCCTCAATGGCCACTGCAGCCAGTGCACTGCGCTGATCTGAAGCCAGGAGCCAGGCGCCTCTCCTGGTCTCCCATGCAGGTGCAGGGCCCAAGGACCTGGGCCATCCTCCACTGCACTCCCGGGCCACAGCAGAGGTGGACTGGAAGAGGAGCAACCGGGACAGAATCCAGCGCCCTGACCGGGACTAGAATCCTGTGTGCCAGTGCTGCAGGCGGAGGATTAGCCTAGTGAGCCGCGGTGCCGGCTCCTTTCAATTCTTATAAATTATCCTTTATATATTTGATAGGCATATATGCTGGGTAATTTTTACATCTTCCCTGTGAATTTAATTTCTTAAAATCCTGAAAGAGTGATCATCTAATGCTAAGAAAAAAGGGATTCACTGGTTCTCAGATGTCAGGTACATGGTATTGTATGCAGTTTATGAATCTTTCTCACTTTCAATGGGGCATTATTTAAGACAATGACCTTTAAGGGACCTTTTACAGGCTTCCACCTTTCATGGCTCCATAATGTTTTGGAAGTTCTGTTTATCTGGTAGCACAGTCCACGTGAACAGCAAGGAAACTGTTTCAGGATGAAGACAATTATAATAATTTCATCCCAATAATGACTGAGAAATAATGGGATTTTTCTAAATGGTGGGAACCAGTGCCTTCAATCTTATGTATTTGGATTATTTGGGGATATTTCACTTGAAGATGTGAGAATGGATTAGATGTCCTCTTAGAGAATCCTGGATTTAAAAAAAATATAAGGGATTAAAGGATCAAGTTTTGAACATAAACTGCAGTTTCATATTGTAATATACAACATTTGGACTATCTATTTTCTCAGATCTTTCAGGTTCAGTGCTGACCCTCATGTTCCATTGGAACCATGTGACTTCACTCTCCTGGCCACCAATGAAGGAAGGTGACAGGCTATTGAACCAAACAGGGTCAAGGAAAATTGGAATTGGGATTGAACATTAGGCACTACCTCCTGAACTGGAAAAAGTTGTAAGCATGGGAGATGAAACTGAAATTCTGGCTCAGCCACTGTGTGCCATGAGCCCAGGAAAAGCTATCTGTAAGGTGAGAAGAAGAGGGGAGAGGAATTTAGAGAGGAACAGAGAAGAGCTAACACAAGAAGTGGCTCTGGGGAGAAAAAAATTGGGTCTTGGTGTCAAAAGGGTTTCTGGTTCCAAACCCTTTTATACTCAGCTGCTTTTCTTGTCCTTAGATTATTTTACAGACTGCTATACAATGAGCTTACAATGAACTTCTCTTTCTAACCTCGGCTACTTGGAGTAGATTCTGTCCTTGCCGATCTGAAAAGCTACTGTGCACACTAACTATAGAGCAGCCTTCAGAGCAGTCGGATGCTCTTGGACCCATTCCCAGGGCTGTGGTTAGTAGTATCTGAAGCAGCTGAAGGGGTTCTTTATAAGGGACAGCGCTTGAATATAGGCTAACAGTTGGGTCTGATGCACTTCAACAATTTGCTACCATCACACTGCAGTTTTGCTCCTGTGCAAGTCAAATTCAAAGCATAAGGAATGTTAGTAGAAACTGAATTCAGTGCTAAACAAATTTATTGAGACATAAAGCAAGCATAACTAGCAGATTACATGATAACAACTGTTATATCCCATGGTTTCTGCATAGCACATTCTGATGACCAAATCCAGAGCGACTTTAAAATTTTTTTTAGTTCTCCACTGTTTTTCCACAGTAGGAAATATTCAGAATCCAGAGGACATTTGTATTGAAGCACTTTCCTGAGTAATAAAACAGGCTTGCATCTGATGAAAAAGAAAAAAGAAGCCTATATCAATTTCTGCTTTCTGGGAGGAGGGGATGGGGAGCTTATTATACAGTCTTCAAACTAGCTATGCACTAATTTCAAGATCTCTCTCTCCATACATGTATTTATTTACCTGTCTGAAATCAATCATTTCAGATCTGGAAACAACTGTTGTGTTAGCAATGCGTCCTACAGTGGAAGCTTTGTTTTTGTGCAAGTTCGTCTTTCAATGCCTAGTAGTCAAGCTATAATTGAGCCTATTAGTATTATCTGCATAGATTGAGCAACAGAAAGTCAATAGATTCAACGGATAGTCTCCTGTTCATACACTTTGCTGTATGTGCCCCAAGTTTACCATAGATCTACCCCTGAAATTTAGAGCACAGAACAGAGAGCCCAAATGCTTGCCATTGACCCAGTTCAGGGTTTTTTGAGCTTTCCCTGCGCTTCACTTTTCTCATCCATAAAATGAGAATAACACTAGAACCCACAGTAAATGATTTTTGTGTGGAGCAAATGAGTTAGCAAACTTAAAGCACATAGAGCAGTGTCTGGCATAGAGCAAGTGCTGCACAAGTAGCAGTAGCCTTGATGACCATACCCTGAGTGACTGGTTGCTCCCCGTGGACATGCCTGAGACTAGACTATTCCACCAGCACTAAATTGGAGAGCACAGTAGGGAGTCTACTCACCTTGAATCTCATCAGCCTCATATGTTGGAACCCCCTGGCACATGCCAGCAATGTGTTTTCCAAACTGGCTCAGGTCATCAACTTTGACAGGGTTGATGGAGTAGACCAGGCCCTTGGGAGGTGGTCCCCCTGCTCCTTTTTCCTGAGGATGAGTGTGAAGAAGACAGGGGGAAAGGAAGAAATAGAATGAATGCCATGCCCAGCAATGTGTTGATCTGAGGGGGTACAAGGCCAATGGGAAGCACTGCTGCACTGTAATGTTTCCATAATTGAGATGAAGAAGAGCAAATTTCAATGCATTATATCTAAGTACCCCAATGACATTATTTGTTTTGAAACCTCAGATTCTCATAAAAAAGAAGTTTGAGGCAAGATTTCATCTAAAAGCTTGGCCTCATTTGGTCATCTTAGATTGGGTTATATAATAATCAATTTCTGAGAATTCAGTTTACTGTTTTCTTTATCTTGTCAGTGAAAAGTACCTATTTATCAGCTACAGGGATACAAACTTATGCAAACATTTTCAGGCTCCATGGATCCCTTCTTTCTACCCACCTTAACTAGAGCTGGCAGATAAAATATAGACACACAGTTACATTTGAATTTCAGATAAATAATAAATCATTTTATTATAAATATAGCCCAAATATTGCATGGGATGCATTTATACTGAAAAAGACTCATTGTCTAGCTGAAATTCATGCTTCACTGAATATCTTCAATTTTTGTTTATTAAATCTGATCATCCTAACCTTTGGAGGAAAATGCTGTTGGAGAAATGTTCATCTAAGGTTTGCTTTTCTAACAGTCAAGGTTATCAGCTGTTATGTCCAGCCTCTGTGGAGATAGGTGTGAGCACACCACTAGGTGGTAACTGCCTGCGTTCAGGCAATTGCCAATTACTTTTCTCTTCACCTTTTGTTGTATTGCACACTACAACATTCTGTGGTCAAGAGGGAATGACTGTGACCTTTACACTCCTCCCCTCCCTGCTTATTTTTTGAGATCATAAGGCCTTCCCTCATCCAAAATAAAAAAGACTTCTGTTTTTACCTTCTTTTCCTTGGCCAGTGCATCAAGAGCTTCAATGGAGGGTATGGCATCCTTGTTCAGTGTGTGCACAATGCACGACTTCTTGGCAAAGAGTCTGGTTGCAGCGAAGCCCTGTTAAACAGAGTCAGTAGTAAGGTGGATGCTCTCTCCCAAGCTTTTCTTATCAGAAGTCACTTCCACCAGCAGAGGGAAATGGAACTCCACAGATCATGAAGACTTGGGATAAGAGCACTGGACCTGGCCCTGTTTTGAAATCATATGACTGTAAGCTCTTTGAGAGGAGAGACTGAGTATCTAACACATTGCTTTGAGTTCTAGCATGAAGTCACTCTGTACACGTCATTTTATTGACATCACCTAGGCTATCACATTTTTATTTCCTTAATTCGTCGCAATATTTCAAGGAGGCAGGTGAGATAGGAATCAGTTTTCTAACCAATCAGATGATAAAACTGAAACAATAAAGAGGTTGCTTTCAAGAAATATAAAGTTCATGAAATACAAGCTGGTAATTATGAAATAGGACCTCCTAGAAAATGTTAAGTGTTTGTTTTGTTTTGTTTTTTGCTTCTCTTACAAATGAATATTTATTGTTAACATTTCATTTGGTCCTTTTGAGGTTCAGGTAAAATGTCAACTTATTTCTTTTTATAAGGAAATTGAAGACAGAGTGAGGTGGGCTATCCTTGGCAACACTAATATTGTATAAGTCATTCATCATTACTGAGGATATTTGCAGGTGGACAAAAGAAATTTCAAATTTGTCTTGTATCCCCATGACCACTGAAAATAGTGGATCCTAGTAACTGGTCGTTGGTTTGAATGCTAAAAACTCATTAATGGTCATTATTTCTAGGGAATGAAAGTGGGTGAGCAAAACAGGTACTTTGACTTATAATTATTATGCTTTTATGTAGTTAAGATTTATTGTACTTGAATTCTTATGGTTAACTTGCACAACTTTTTGATAAAAAAAAAAAGACACCACGTTTTTCTTCAAAGACTGGGAGTTGCATGTCGGTTACCTACAGCGTCATAATCCCAGAGGGTGTTCCAGGAGTTCCAGCCATTGTTATTGTCGACGTTGGCCACATTGTGCTCGTTGTTGACACTCACTGTCTGCTGCCCGCTTCCATCAGCGTTATTGTCATCACTGATGTTGATATTCTGAAGTTTATAAGAAATTAAAAATGATTTAATGCAGCATTTCATTGAATATGCATTTTGGTACCAAACTCTAAAAAGTGAGACTTACATAGCCAGAAAGACCAGGAATGATGAACAGTCCGAGAAGTCCAACAAAGATCATCTGAAATCACAAGTAATATTGATTTTTATCACATTGCAAAATGAGATCCTCTTCTTTCTTCTTCTATTTCAGCTTATAAAAGGTTTACTGTGACCCAGCAAGTTAAACCACAACTTGGGGTGCCTAGGTTTGAGCCCTGGCTGCTCTGTTCTTCCCATCTAGCTTCCTGCTAATGTGCCTGGGAGGCAACCAATGATGGTCCAAGTATTTTGCTTCTGGCCACCCACATGGCAGACCCAGGCGGAGCTCTTTGCTCCTGATTTTGGCCTGGCCCAGCCCCTGTTTTTGTGGATATTTGGTGAGTGAACCAGTGGATGGAAGATCTCTCTCTCTCTCTCCCTGTCTTTCTGCCTTTCAAATAAATAAATGCACCTTTTAAAAAATTTACTAATGTGTTGAGTGATCTGTTTTTTTTTTACCTTGTATATTTTTAGCCACAGAAAATTTCAATGATAATTTAGAAATATTGATTAATTATAATAATATATGTTTTATAACTTTATTTTAAAGTTTTTATTAATATAAAGAGAATAGATTTCATGTATTTTGTAGATACAATTCTGAGCTAAACATACTTCCTTCCCTTCTTCTCTCAATCCCCTCTCCTTCCTTCCTTTCTTTTTTTTCCTTTAATTTTTGTAACAGCATACTTTCAATTTACTTGATAATCATAGGCTTAACGCACCACTAACCACAATGTTCAACAATTAAAAAGCAGAAAGACCACTGTTCTATAGGAATGTAGACAAGGGCTATAATGTAGACCTTCTGAATCCCATTTTTAATGAATAGCATATGTGATAAGAAGACAGTTATAAATTCTGAAACTCATATCTGAAAATAATTTAATTTCCAGATCATTACTATTTTATATTTTCAACCCCATTATAGAGCCTGCTATAAATTATTCCCCTGTAGTTTTAAAATGAATGAAAATATTCATGTGATTTTAGCCATCTTGTTATAAGAAGCATGGCACTAGCAGCACCTTTGGCAGAATTCGAGGGTTGCTCTCCTACAGGCTCTGGATCCCCATGCAAGGCTGCTCTAGCTTCATGCTTCAGACTCTTTCCCAAACAAATGCTGTGGACAAGGCCTAAGGGAAATCTTTTGACTTGCAGATCCACCACACAACAAAGCATGGGGCAAGTTTCTCACCCATTTATTTTGATACCAAACTTTTTATCTTGCATGGACAACTCGGGAGTTTTGGTAAAAGGGGGAATTCAAGAATGGAAAAGATCAGGCACTGCCTAGGACTTAGGGACTGTTTGCCTTCTGCAGAGAAACCTAGGTCAGATGATGTGGAAAGTAAGCTCATTCTAGATAGCTCACTATAATGTGCTCAGACAGTTGTCAAATCCCGTTATAATCATCCTTCTCCATAGATATGCCTATAAATGCCGGAATTCCATGAAAAGGAAAGATAACGTTGTGTTTTTAAAAAAAGTTTTCTGTTATGGTGATTTTGCCAGAAGAAATAGACTCCCTTATCTGAGACTAGTAACAGTACCCAATTACAGAGCAAGAACTCCAAAAGGAAGCAGATCTACTCACTGCGATCTTCATGTCTGCAGGAATGCAATGGAGCAGAGGAGAAGGTAGCCATGGGCTTGCCTCGGAAGCCTTCTCATATTTGTACTTGACTGGCTCTGCTCAAATCTGGTGTGATTAGGTGGAGTCGCAGACTTATCTTTCTCCAAAACCTGTAGCTGGCCCATGACCTAGCATATCAGGAAACTTTTGGAAATTTCTTCCTGGGTAGCAAGACATTTTGACATAGAGTTGGTGTGATTCATCCTCTGTTGAAGGTATTACAGTAAACTCAGTAGGATTAATGATAACTTCTGGCTCCATTGAAGCTGTGGGTGTGGGTATCTTACACATTGACATTATTGCTCAGATTTGGTATAAGAGAATAATCCCTAAAACCAAACAAGACCACAGGTGAAAAACTGTGTATACCCAGCCTTCCAGATAACAGCTCTCATAGGAACGTGCACCTGATGTTCTCTTCCAGCCTTACCTGAACCCATTTCCAGTGGTTTTGCTTAGGCCAAACATGCTTCACTGCATCTATCCTCTTATAAGTCTCTCAATGGTTTACCAGGGTTTGGTTAGAAAACCTGGATGCTGGTGGGCATTTCACACAGCAGTTAAGATGTGCTGAGATACTTGCGTCCCATGCTGCAGTGCCTGGATTTCAGTTTCAGCTCTGCTTCCCATTCCAGCTTCCTGTTTTTTTATTTTTTTTTATTTTTTTTAACTTTTATTTAATGAATATAAATTTCCAAAGTACGGCTTATGGATTACAATGGCTTCCCCCCAATAACGTCCCTCCCACCCACAACCCTCCCCTTTCCCACTCCCTCTCCCCTTCCATTCACATCATGATTCATTTTCAATTCTCTTTACATACAGAAGATCAGTTTAGCATACATTAAGTAAAGATTTCAACAGTTTGCTCCCACACAGAAACATAAAGTGAAAAATAATAGATGATTTTTTAAATGATGATGAAATCAGATCAGACCTATTGTCATGTTTAATCCCAGTGAGAGTCAAGTTGGGAATTGATAATTTCTTTTTTATTTTACAGAAGATCAGTTTAGTATACATTAAGTAAAGATTTCAACAGTTTGCACCCCCATAGAAACACAAAGTGAAATATACTATTTGAGTACTCATAGCATTAAGTCTCAATGTACAGCACATTAAGGACAGAGATCCTACATGAGGAGTAAGTGCACAGTGACTCCTGTTGTTGACTTTACAAATTGACACTCCTGTTTATGGCATCAGTAATCTCCCTATGCTCCAGTCATGAGTTTCCAAGGCTATGGAAGCCCCTTGAGTTCTCCGACTC